TCGCACCTGACAGTGGCGAATACAAGTGTGTTGCCACGAACTCGAAGGTAGGATAATTCATATATTCGACTTTCAGGAGATAGAGTGGGCGTGGCTGCGCACTTCATCTGAACGTTTCGGCTGCTTTTTTGGTGGATTGTTACCGTTTTTATACAACTGTATTCATATCCAGTCCAGCATGACAGTGGTCTCAGATTGAAATATCCCACAAGAAACACATCATACGCCATGTCAAATGAAGTTCGCAGCCACGCCCCTTCCATCTTTGAGATATGGGGTATACCTTAGAGCACCTCACTGAACTAAAATGATGTTTTAGGGTACTGCTGAAACGATTGGAAAGATCGTGGTAGAATCGCTTACGCAAGTTGACGCCCCACAAGTCGTCCAACCGCTCGTTGAGAAAATCGATAACACTCTGGTTAGTGCGTTTACCCTTTGGTAAGGAGCGTAAGAAGCTTAAGATATTTCTTTCCAGGAAGGCGATTCTATCCATCTGGAATGTCGCGTTACTCCCATCAACGATCCTCAACTCAAGGTGCAATGGTGCCGCAATGGTGCACCCTTACCCGAGGCCAGCAGGTTAGTCCGTGGGAAATGCCCTGGGGAGGGCAGGACTCCAAGTGCCGCAGGTAAAGAGTCGTGAAGGTAAGGAAGTGTTTTTCAGGTTCAAGCCCACGTTCGAATTCGGTTTCTGTTCCTTGGATATCCTCTATGCTTATCCGGAAGACAACGGTGTGTACGAGCTCGTCGTCACCAACGACAAAGGCGAAGCCCGTACCAAGTCCCAGATTACGGTAATTTTCTCGTGATGTTTCCGAACTCAGCCATGTAATAATTGTCACTGTGTCAGGTTCTACCTCGACCAGCACTCGATTACTCATCTCAAACTCACCGCAGCGCTCTAGACAACCTCGAGTCGCACTTCCGACAGTACTCAACTATGGGTATCGAACTCACTCCTGGCGACATGTATGATGAAGCTAAGAAAGAGTAGGTTTCTCGTAATATTAGAGTTTCCAGGGAATCAGTCCAGGTGTTCAGCCTGACATGACCCTGCTGGCCGGTAATGCCCATTGGTTACAAGGCTTGTTACTTAGTGCTTGACCCCTAAAAGACCGTACAGTAGCCGGTAGCGCTCTGTAGTCTGTATGCCCTTTCAGTGGGCACATTTAATCTCTGAAGCTTCTGTGGGCCAGATCTAAAGTGGCTATGTGATTACATCATTTCACTTTATCGTATAGGTCCACCCTCAAGAGCAGGCGGTAGTTAGGGACGCTGCCCAGTTCCATTGTCAGGATGGAAGGCTTCTGGACCACACTATGGCGCTGGGTTACGTGGCTCAGAGCCCTTCTATCAAAGATATTGGAGCTGCTGACTCAGGGCTTCCTGATGAGGGCGCTAACAGGGTTCATTCTAATGTGCATTGGTTTATCCCCTCACCAGATGATGGCCGGGCGAATCTGGACCTGGCCGGACCCCATAGCAGTGCTTGTTATAGACGAACATCCCGTGTTCCTTTCCTCAGCCTCTGCCCAGTCCAGACACCATCTTCATTGAGGGATCCCAAACAACAACTAAATACAAAGTTATCTCCCAAGCATGGGTTTATAGTTGGCTTGTTTTGCGGGATCTAGGACGAACACGAAAGGGTTTTACAGTAGTATGAAAAAAGTGGGCGTTTTCACAAGAGTTCTAAGAACTTCAATGGTTCCTCTCTTCCTCAGCCGACAACTCACGTTTCCGGGAAAAGGGTGAAGGTAAAGAGGTGGATGGGTTTGAACTCCCTTCTGATGGAGGATGAACGAGGGGGGGGGGGAGGCGATGCGCTAGGTAGAGAAGGGGCGTCAACGAATTTCGTTCACAGGAACGAAGTGTTTTGGAAGAAGCTTGGTGCGAGATCTTCCGGTGAGGAGGATCCGGTGGGGTTGTACTGTTGTCACCAGTTTTCTTATACCTATGATGTGGTTTCCTCCACACCTTTTACCCCGTCAAAGTAGCCCGAGATAATCGGTATAACTCTATTTGCTGGTGATGTGATTGCATCGCGTACGCGCTTGCGATTCGCTACCGTAGTCCATCAGAGGTTCTATGTTGTCTTCTTGGGAATTTCCAGCCAATTCCAACGTTATTCAGCGTTGAATACATCATTTTCGGAAGTTCTGGACCCTATTAGGTCGACTATAAGTAACCGTATCGCAATGTAGACCATATTGGAAAGTCTTGGACCTCATCCTGTAAGTAATCACGATATATTGCAGAGCACCAGTGTTCAAGGCACCACTGCAGAACATTGGTGTGGCTGAAGGAGAATTCTGCCGATTTGAGACTCAACTTGCTCCGATTAATGATCCATACATGAAGATTGAGTGGTTCAAGGACAAGAAACCTGTACTACTTGGTAAGTACCAACTAAGATCCTTGTGAGATCGTCACTCACGATATGTAACTTCCCAGGCCAT